ATAGATTTCGGCATCATAAAGGAAAAATCAGGATATGATGGAGTCTTTGGACAGTCAGTCATGAAACAAGCAAACATAATCATTTTTCTCCATCAATCGTGTGTAAGGTTTTCTACAAATAAAGTGAAGTGTCCTTAAAACGTAATGAAGGAATGCACAGGAATAATGAAAATAGCATAAGGGGAAGAGCCATAAGAGCTCCCAAGAAGAATATAATTGATATAGTCAAAATGAGTAACCCTATGATGAAACTTGAAATCAATGATCAATTATAGCTGACTGCAAGTCAAAGGTAGTAGCGATCGAGGAACTAGAAAGTTTTTTCACTAGTTCAGAGGATATAAGCAAGGCTCTAAAAATTGGTAAGAAATTAGGCGAACCTATGAAAGTATTGCTAAAAAACCTTCTGATAGTGAACCTAGATGTGTTCACCTGGAAGCATAATGATAAGGTAGAAATAGATCCTAAGGTGGCATGTTATACCTTGAAGATTGATCCAAGATAAAACCCAAAATGCAGAGTTGGCCAATGAGCGCCGAGAAGTATGAATCATTAAAAAAACGAGGAAGACAAATTGTTAGAAATGTCTTTATCCGTCACGGCTCATAAGAAAGCAGTAAAATAACAAAAAATAAGAAAAATTACAAATGGAGTCCCATTACTTTTAAAAGTAAAAATAAAACACATCTTTTACACACGCACAAATTGCCTAATATGCTTAATCACCCCATCAACACACCCTCCCTAAAACCCCAATGTCCACAAATTTCCTCACAACTACCTCAAATAATTTTCGTTATTTTCCAATTTTTATTTCTCCCAATTCCCAATGGCATTCGTGTTGAAATCTCAATTCGGTGCCAACGGAAAAATAGTAACCAACTGCCAAAAGAAGCGGCTAGCTGTTACACCCTATGATCGTCTAGTATCATTGCCTCCTCTTCCTACTAGATAAAAGTCCTATTGGTTTTCTGGCATAATTATGCAATCGTTTGAAAGCCTGTTTTGAGTGGAACCTAGGACGGTTATTCCTTTGAGGGGGGCAAACTTTGTGATCCTAATAGATCTAAAACACTTCTGATTCTCCTTGAAGCTCATCTCCCCTGAGATGAGGTATTACTCACCTCCTTCCTCCTGTTCTTGGTTTACTCTTCTTTTGAAAATTGTAGATTCATTGAAATGGATGGACTTATGCTTTTGACTCTTGTAGGAGATTCCACCTTGGTTTCTATCACGAGTAGTGTGCTGGTTTGATTTTGCTCTATTCTACTTGCGAAGTGTTCTAAGCCTCATTCATGACATTTAGTTAGGGATTTCTGACTTTAGTGGAGTCACCCCCACCTTAGAAGTTATTGGGAAGACTGATATCATCACAATTTGTAGGGAAATGACTCCTTGATGCAGCATTACAACTCATCCTTGTTGGTCGAGATGGTTCTGTATATTCGAAAATAATGGAGATCTAAATTGTTCTATCGATCACCCTCCTTCTAGTGACAAATTATTCATAACTAAAACTGAAATGACATCAATAGATCAACTTAAGGAATATTTAGCAAGGTATTCGTGTTTAATTTACTGGAAAGTTATTGAAAGAAAGGGAATTTTTATTGAAAAATGTTACTTTAGTGCATTATAAGGAATTTCTTTGCTCGGCCTTCTATAGGGAACCATTGCCCCTATTGGAAGAGATTTGATTGGATATTAAGTTCAGCCAATCCGACCATCATTTTACTAGGATGTAGCTGTAGACTATGTTTTATGATTGTCTACAGCTTAAAGCTTAACAATCTTTACTCCTTTCTGATTGGTGAGAGGCACGACGTCAATGGTGACACTTGTTTTGTTTCAATTGGTTGTTGGGAAGGTATTGATGTCACTAAAGGACACTTTTCAAGTGCTGATTCACTAGGAGACACCTTTTCTGTTGGGTAATCATGATGTTTAGTGATGTTGCAACATTTGGAATTTAGGAGATCTCATATTTGAACATATTTAACCATTTGTCCGTGGTTGTATTTAAGTTCAGACACCAACAATATCCACCATGAAAAGAAGTAGCTCAGTGTCATACCCTCATCTGTCTACCTATACTACCCCGCCTCCTGCTAGAAGCCCTAATTATTTTCTAGCATAATTATAGCATCTGCACTTTCAATTACTATCGGTCAGTGTTCCATTCTGGTTTTTATTCCTTTTTTGAAGATGATGGTTCGATTTTACACTAATAATCACTTTCATGTTTATCGTAGAAGTTTCTTTTACGTGTTTTTGTTGGGATAGGATGGATGTTGATGGCGGTAGGTATGTCAGCATGGTTGAAATGTATCTAAATTCCTTTTCTTATGTGTTAATATACTGCTAGGAAATTGGACAAAGTTATATAACATGATATGAAGTACTGATCATAATAGCAAGAACACACACCCAAAAAAAAAAAAATTTAATTAATTAATTTGGTAGAAGAACTGGAATGGAGAGAGAAATTACATCAATATTGAGTTCTTACACATTTCTAACCTATAGTAATTATCTAACTGGTAAAGAAGAGTCTACTATTTATAAGGGTATATGAGAAACCCTAATAAGAGCTTTAAAGATGAAAATTAGATTAAAAAAAAAATGTGTGGACTAAACAAAACAAGGAAAACCCGAACAACAGCAGCGCTTGCGCGCCAAGCTATCCACTGGGGAGCCAGTTGAGCTATCCAATGGAGAGCCAGGTGGTGGCAGTCCTCCACTGAAAAATTTGTCTCGCGGCTCTAGCGTCCAGTTAGCGATAGGTTAGACTTTCAATCCCTTTTTCCTCCTCGGGCCTTACTTTAACGTCTTCAAGGCCCAATATACCAAACCTCGCATACCCTAAATGAATTTAGGTCACAAATCAACAATCTCCACCTTAACGCAAATTCCACTACAACAAATGAAGCTCCAAAATTTCTCAGCCTAAATAAAAAATTCGATTGGAAGGAATGAAATGAACTCTTCAACAAGAACCAAAATAACTTCTCCAATGAAAAAATTCTCCACCCCTTCCACAATATTCAACTAAGATAAATTAATCTAAGCATTGCACCACAGAATTACCTTGAGTTCCCAAAATACAAATGATTTAAATTTTACCAAATAGGGCCGAAAAATATCTTAAAACAGAATCAACACTAAATAATTTTGTAGAAGGCCCTTTGCTAGATTGAAAACCTTAATATACACTTAAAGCATGCACAACAAAATCAGCTTCCTCGTACCTTTTTCCAATTGGTTTGTCCTTAACAATTGAATACTATGGCACCGTAGGTGATGGTGGTAAAACGGCATTACCCTCTTCTGAACTCGACTAAGTTGTATTCTAATAAACACAAACCCTAACCAAATCCCAACGATACTATACCAAACTGAATATCCACTACGGTACTAATTGTTCTTCAACGATTCTGCACAACCTTTCAAGATGTATAACGACGACTATTCCTCCCCTTCGATACAATTCGAGCACCTTTGAAAACCTTCAAAGTTCAACCTTTACCAATGACCTCGTACCCTTTTGAATCAAAAGTAGCCAACATGGTGAGATTTTTCTTCCCATCTAAAGCATGTCGAACATGATTAAGTGTTCTAAATCCGACTCTACCAATACTAGCTACTTGATAAGGTATGTTGTCTTTCATAATCACGACACGTTTTGAAACTCTGTCATGTGTTGCAAACAAATCCTGATTGGGACACATATGAAATGTACAAGCTAAGTCCAGAATCTAATCCTCGCCATTAGAAATAACTGAAAGATCTCCATCACTCAAATAGTCCTCTACGACATACAATAATGCTTCCGTGAGGTTCAACATCTAACCATTTTGATACAGCATAGTGCAATGTATAAGAAAATAACTGCAGCTTGATAGTATCTTCATTAATCCCTAGAACATGAAAATTCTGTCAATTTCTAAGGAATTTAGGGATGTGTGTTCAGATTTTCATGAGCTAGACCACAAAATTGGAGAGTGTTGTTAGTCAAGTTGATCCACTCTACCCTTATCTAAAAGTTGTTCATCCTAAAACTTTAGTGGAACATCAAGAACACTGAGACTGGAATGTCCCCTCATTTATTTCCACCCATTCATGTTGCTGATCCAGTGGTGTCGCTACTTTTGTGGCTGCTTGTCCAAATTGGCCATATAGGAAGAGGAATGTTTTGATCGTCAACCATTTGATGTTGTTAATTTTGTTTGTCTTTGTGTCTTCGTTTGAAAGTACGTTCTATTTTCAAATCAAACGGTTCAAGATCGTCGCCTTGTGTATGGAGCATACAAAAAACACCTTTTATTTGTAAATAAAAGAAAATAAACAAATTAAATAGCAGTTAAAAATAAAATAAGTTAAGACTAAAAGTAAATAATCCCCGACAACTATGCCAAGAGCTTGTTGCATTTTTCTATCGCAAATGTACGATATTGAAACAATTAATATAGTGGACCTTTGAATTCGGATTATCGTTTCTAGAAGGATTATACTTTAGGACTTAATATAATTTTTCTAACTCCCATTGGATGAAAGCAAACAAAGAGTTAAATTTGTTGAGAATTTTTGGTTTAAACACTTGAAATTAATCAAAATGGACACAAAGATTGATTTAGAATTCAAATAATGAACGAATATTTAGGTAGAACAATTTCATCTATTGATCACCTTTGAGCCTTAACTTAATATTTAAGAAAATCTAATGCAAAATTCGATCGAATTCTTTCATTGTATTCAATTTACCTCTCTTAAGTTCTCATAAGTCTATTTAACTTATTCAATACCATATCTCTATGGGAATCAGCCTTAGTTAAACGAAATATTAATTCTATACATTCGTATAATGTCCGCAATAATTAATACATGTTTCTCTACATGTTATACTGATTCAAAGATGGTCCCACAATGGGTCTTGGTAGGTCACATGACCATAATGTTTTAATTTTTTCAATTTTTTTATTTTAATTTAACAAGAACAGAATTCAAGAAAGACATACCAATACATACAAAACGGCAATGGAAAAGGAAAAATGTCTGCCTTCCTAAGTTCCCTTCCCTAATCCCTAATATTTCTTTGAGTCTTTCTAGCAATTGGAGTCATTGGAATATCATCCTTCATCCCTCCTTCGACAGTTTTTAGACCCTGCTGTTTTTAGCCGACGACCAATTTAGTCAAGACTCGAGAGATTTTGTGAAAGCTGCTTCCGCTTCCCATCGTTGTCACCACTTCTAGCCGTTGCTATCACCATCCACCCCTAAACGGAGTGACAACTAATAAGGTTAGTACTGTATAGTTGGAGTTTTGATTTTACATCTCCGGGCGGTCAATTAGTTATGCTGAATATATGATTTATCATTTGTGAATCAATTTAAATGGAAATTGGAACTTTGCCCATTTTTCACTTTGCTTGCCTGGGGCCATTTTTTGAATTGGCTAGAGCCATTGTTTGAGTTGTCGAAAGATTCTTGGAGCCATTTTTCAATGGTCAATTTTTGAAGTGGGAATCTCTAATTTGTGAATCTATGAAGGATAGCTTATTTGTGAATTGTAATTTATGAGATTTAGTTTGGGAAGTGGGAACTTTATCAAAAATTAAAAATTGGGGACTCATAGAGAATAATTGTGATATGATATTGAATATTTAAAATTTTTTGTCACTTTTTCAAGTTTGATTGTGCCCAACTAACTCAAAATATTCGGGTTAGCCACTATATTGATTTACCGAATTTTACTATGTAGTCTAAATATCAGATTCACCTCTCGATTCGTAAAAGATTAACAAAATCATCAAATTAATAATCAAGTAATTCAACGTATTAAACTCATAGAAAAATCAACACATATATGATAAAATAATCAGAATTCCGAATAAAAGAAATGGTCCTAAGTAGATTACATTGTCTACCTAATATGAAACTTAGCTACTCATAATGCAAAAAGAAAAACAAGAAATTGTTATTGAATACATCATTGAATTTTGAATAAAGATGTAGAAAAAGAGATCATCTTGCACCAAGATATTATTCCTCTTCCAATCAATACTTCAAACCTTGAGTTTCTTGATTTTTTCTCCCTTGATTTGCGGTCGTCAATCTCCAGTTGTATTTCTTTATCTCTCAATGTGTGGAATTCCTTCAAAAGTGCTAATAACTTATATTTATACTCCTCCACATGTTTGTGTCCAATACATGGTTTCTTGTGGGCTTCAAAATGGTCGAAAAACAAACCCTCTTCCGTCTTTAGGTGGTGCCTGGTTGTGGCGTGGCAACATTGTATCAAATTAACCTATGGCACTACAGTGTCTAGAGCGCCACAACTCTGCCAATCTATTTTTAAAGTGGCACCAAGGTACTACTATGGTATGTCAAGGCGCTACGTCTTTGTTTGTTTATGGTTCTGTGGCGATGATGCACCCACTCTTCAATCTTCCATTAACCACCTTCTCACGCAGATTCTTCTTTTGTTCATCTTTGTGTATTATAAATTGACTATTTTGTCCTTTATCTTTCCTTTCCCTCCTTTTGATTTCAAGCCATTGTTTTTCCACTTTTACAATCATTAACTCCACCTCATCAAACCTATAAAACAACACTAATGAACACATTAAAAACGTTCAATACACGTAAGATTTAGCCAACCAAAATTTTTATTTCTTTCCTTTAGACGACGCCTGCTATCTTCGACATTGCATCCAGTAGACAACGCACTGTCGATGATAACAGAGCTGTTATTCGAGATGTCGATGAGCAACAGCATCAAGTGCGTGACCACTGCGCATGTGTTGTAGCACACGAATTACCAATGCCCTGATGACTGTTGTTATATCAACTACATAAACTCAGAACATAAAATTTTCTAGGTATCAGTACAAGAGAGGTACTTGGAGATTCTTCCAAATCCTTTTATCCATTCCTCGACCATGCCTTCAAATGTAGAGGACAAACTGTTCCACTTTTGAGCTTGTGGTGTTGGAGTAACCCTATGCATCCTAAGGAGGTTCTTATGCTTGTGGCATGCCAAGGTCTTACACAACTCTCAACGAATCGTTGAAAATAGCAGCTTATGTTGTTGGTTGACTTGCCATTTTTCATTATGTAAAAAAAAAAAAAAAGAAAAAAAAATTATCTTAGAGATAATCGACAACAAACCTCAACATATTCGACGGGAAAACTCAAATTCATTGAAATATTAAATCCTAGAGGGTTGAAATAGAACCTACTGAGATTACATCTTCTTTCATTAAGGGAAAGAAATCCTTTACTAAAACTAAAATAAATAAACAAACTATTCTCTAAGTGGCTAATCGTCAACTTCGCTTGTTTGAATACCGAGTCCTAATTCCTATAAATCTTATTAGGTTAGGTTCTCATTTTTCGAGGGGTCTACTGACTTAGGTCTAGACTTAGGCTCTGATTCAAACTCCTCCTCTGGGTCTGATTCAGGCTCTAGCTCTTACTTAGGTTCGAGCTCATGCTCAGGCTCAGGCTTAGGCTCAGGCTCTTGCTATTGGTGGTTCAATACGGTTATGATATACTTGTAATATCTTCTAAAATCAATTGTGTCCCAATCCTTGGGGCAGATACAGCTCATCACTCTTTTCTCTCATCGAGTACACCACTTCTCTCTATTGAGCCCTCATAGTGTTTATAAAATGATATTGATAGGTTCGTCTCACTTTGTAATTCATGAATAGGAATTCTACAACACACTGAACAAAATTACGATCCCATCTCACTTTTTAATTCACGTAATTATAATAATCCGGCCCATATCGGATACGTTGAGCTGGTTATCCTAGTTGTTTATAACGTCTTAACCATGTCTATCACTTCTAAGTGAAATTATGCTTAGTCTTCATTAATGATATAACATTACTTACTATTCTCGCATGAAATATTATAATGGTAAATAAAATATTATTCTTTAATCGGAAATGATTATGCCGACCATAAGCATACGAAAAACATTGTATTTGAAACATTTCATAAAATTGAAGCAGAAGAAATTTAGAAGTCACGCTTACAATTCAAAACTAGAATATAATAATTCATTGTAAACATTTCCTGAATTAAACATACAAAATTTATATCTCATGCTCGAAATTAAATTAAAACATAAAATTTCGCATGGTATCATTGGTATGTTAGATGTAGTTGATTGGTGAGTGCTAAATGCCAAGAACTTCGTTTTAATTCATGTTTGTGTTTTTCTTTTTCTTTTCTTTTCTTTTCTTTTTTTAATTGAAATAAAGATAGTATCTTATAATATAGTTGAATACCCCTATTGTTACTAAGAAATAAGTCCTTAACAAAAAAAGAATTAAATAAAATAATTCTTTTTTTATACAGTGAACAGTTATGCGGTCACTATTTACTGTGAACAATATTGCCACGGTTTTACTTTATTGTGAATAGTGTCGTGCAACATCAACTACATGAATAGCGACTCGAATTCATTGTTCACATATGGTGATTTCAAATTTTATTTTATTTTTATTAACATTTATACGTACATATTTCACTAGCGCACATAGATATAAAATTTTAACAAGTTTACAGATAGGTAGACTCTTGCTGCAATGTCAAACCACAATGTCTTAAATTTTATAATCATAAAAATCGAGCTGTTATCAATATCATTTCATAAAATTAACTTTAAATCGAAAAATTAATATAAAATTTGCATTTTTATTTTTTTGTAATTTAATATAATTGAATAAAATAAATTTCAAATGTAAATTAAAGAAATTCATGACATTTAAGTGAAATGATGTGTTAGACATGTAAAAATTACTATATCTACTATTTGTCCATTAGAAACTTTTACTTGGCTACCTGCTACAGCACTCATCCACCATTCGAGCTTGACACAATCAAACTTGAAATTTTGTAAATGGAGTGAATATTTTAAAACTTAGTAGGATACAGGCAGCCCAAAAATAATATTATAAAATCAAACGTAAATTACAATATTCCATACCACCGTTTCATTAAGGGCATTTGATGATCAATTTAGTACTCTTACACATTTTTGTGTAAACTTTTGAGAAATCCAAAGAAATCTTGCATTTAATTGCATCACAGGTCCTTAGGTCAATGAGCATTTCCTGTATAATCAACTAAAATAAACGATATTTTAAAGATAACAACTTGAACATATAGTAACTTATCTTCGAATCCTATGGAAAAACTTGAATTTAGCTCGAAGAAAAATACATTCGCTGAAATAATTTTTTATCTTCGAAATAAAATCACTGAAAGATTCGATATACTTTTCGCAGGTGGTCTGTAAATATATGAGATTAAAAGTTAATTGTTGTTGGCACCTTTAGAAATGAAAAAAGGTGAGTATTTATAGCACTTTTAAGAATCCTAAATCTTTTAAATTTTGAAGTATAAAATAATGAATTTAAAAATATATAAAATCAAAATTTTATCTCAATCAACTCTAATATTTCAAGTAATTAAGATAATGAATTTAAAAGAAAGATAATAAGAAAAGTATTATCTCAATCATCTTTAAAATTTCAATATAAGTCCTATTATGCTTAGTCTTCTTACAATGCTCGCATGAACTATTATTATAAGGGTAAATAAAATATTATTCTTTGATCGGAAATGATTAAGCCAATTATAAGAACACGAAAAATATTGTATTTGGAACATTTCATGAAATTGAAGCAAAAGAAATTTAAAAGTCATGCTTACAATTTAAAACTATAATATAATATTTCATTTTAAACATTTCTTGAATTAAACATAAAAAAATTATATCTCATGCTCAAAATTAAATTAAAATATAAAATTTCACGTATTACCTTTGGTCCATCAAATTGCTAAATGCGAAGAACTTATTTTAATTCACGTTTGTGTGTTTTTTTATAAAGATAGTATCTTATAATATAGTTGAATACCCCTATCAATACTAAGAAATAAGATATAACCCAACCCCCCCCCCCCAAAACCCCCCCAAAAAAAAAAAAAATTTTTTTTTTTATAAAGAAAAAAATACCAAAATAAAAATTCTTTTATTTTAATACAGTGAACGATGCCGCGGTCACTTTTCACTGTAAACAATCCCATGGTAAATGTTCATTGTGAATAGTGTCACACAGATCACCCACATGAATAGTGAGTCGAATTCAATGTTCAAGTGAACAATGACTTCAAATTATATTTTATTTTTATTAGTGTTATAAATACGCGTATATGTTCGATGCATTTTCTAGACGCCTGTATATGGGGTATTCGCATGATAATACAGTCATGGGCAGATCTA